GACCTGCAAGCTCATCACAACCCATTTACGAATTTGCAAAATGAAAATGTAAGCTAAGCTGAGTTGCCACATGAGGAAAAAAGTACAGGAATTATTTCATTGAAGAATATTTAAATTGGAGGTGATTGATGATTAGTTGAATGTGAGCTCAACCAAGGGGAAAACAAAGCTGCGACATTAAAGGAAAGAACTAAACTGAATTCAATCATATATATATATATATATATATATATATATATAATCTGATAAAAAAGTTTGAAAAAGGACAGAAGTATGGACTGTTTCTTTTGTATATGAATTATTTTCATATTTATGTTAGACCGAGACAAACAATTCCAACTCCAATCTTCGTCAAAAGATTAGTGAAAACTGTGTTGATTACTGGGGATTATTATTATTTAATTATTAAGATGGATTAAGTATTAATTAAGAGTAAAGTATACAAATGGTCTCGGGGCGTTGTTTTATTGAGTCCCTCGAATATTGAAAGTTATAAAATGATCTTTCGACTATTCATTATGTTCCGAACTCGTCATTTTTCGTTAAAAAATTAACGACAATCAAGGCTGAATTTTAATATGTTGTTTAAGAAATGATATCCGTTTGAGATTCTAGGATCATATTTTATCTTATCTCATAAATCAGATTAACATCCGATTTGGTAATTAAAATTTCAATTAAACTTAGTGTTATGAGTAATATTATTGGAATAATAGTCTTTTTACCATTTATGTAAATAATATTTGTTATATAAGAGTATAAACATTTTTTAAGAAGAAGCATCTTATATGTTGCATTTTTAACATTTATGTAAATAATATTTGTTTATATAAGAGTATAAACATTTCAATTCAGGTGTCTAGCGTTTCTAACGTTACACTTTTAAGTGTTTCGGCTGTAACGAACGTTAAATTATGCCGTTAATTGACATGTGTCACATCAAGATAATTTTTAATATTTTTAAAAGAAATATAAATTTTAAAATTATTATAAAGTCAACAAGTGTCATTTAACTGCATAATTTAATGGCGGTAACAATCCAAACATCTAAAAATGTATCATTGAAAATGTTAGGTACTTAGATTGACCGAAAAATAATTTAAGCACCTAAATGGGAAAAAAAGTATATAGTTTTGACACTTATTTTTATATTAAGCCTAATTTTTAAGTTTGAATTGTTGTTATTTATTGAGATCTTGGATTCGAGCGCCATAAATGTTAGGGGTATGAGGATTCAATGACTTCAATCTCAAATGATTGTGAGTTATCTTTGAACAAATACTACCTTGTACTTACGACAGGTTAACTAAAAGAAAAATTGATTAAAAATATTTTAGATATTTAGATGAAAAATAATATACTATAATGATTTAATTTGATAAAAAATTAAATATTTATATAATAATAATATTTTTAAATACATATTTGATTGAAAAAAATTATAGGTATTTACACAGAAAAATATATTGCACCAACCAAGTGGTATTTGTGGTAAAAGAATTGTTGTTATTCCTTGAAGACCCGAATTCGAGCACCATAAATGTTAGGAGCGTGAGAGTTCAATGTCAAACGGTTAAGAGTTATCTTTAAATATATATTACCTTATACGTCAATTTGTTTGTCAAATTGGTGGGTCTAGCTGTTGGGCCTAAAGACTAAGTCCAAGTCTAACACACTTTTTTCCGAATAGTTAGTACTAGCCATTAGGGTTTTAAACCTTCGACTCTCCATGCTGCTAGCCACTTCCTATATAACTCACTCTTTCTTGTTAGGGTTTGTCGCTCAAACACTCTCAAGTTCCAACAAGGCGTCTCGACATAGCAGTTATTGGTTATGTCCTGCTTAGATTTGTTTGTTTTTAGGCTCTGGTATCTGTTTTCTAGTTCAGAATATTCAATTGTTTGATGCTTTCATTTTATTCGAGGTTTTTTTTTTGCCGGAGAATGAAATGAGGATCAGAAGTTTTCCCTATTGGTTTGATTGCCGAGATGATGGCCGACCTTATGTATTAGCTCTATCTGATCATTCTCTTTATCTTTTAAATACAAACAAGAAAAGTTCATGATGCTGCCATGTTTTTTTTGTCAAATATTGAACTTTGCTATTTTACTTTGTTTCAGAATTGTTGTGCTTGTTTTTTACCTTTTTGTTGTGGAAGAATGAAATGATGATTGTGATATTGTTTCCCTATTGGTTTGATTGCCGTAATGATGGCTAATCTTCAGTATTAGCTCTATCTGATCATTCTCTTCAAAAACAAATTTTGCCTTCAAAGTTAACTGGTTCAAGCTTCTTATAGTGACATGCATAATCATATTGGAAGGTTTGTTTTGGTTGTGTCCTTGGATCCGATGATCTGGAAAATACCTTGCTTGAATTGTATGTGTGTTTGCTCTGAAGTGATAGTGTTGATGAAGAACCTCTTCAAAGGAATTTTAATAGGTATGGCAAGCATAGGTAAAATTTATTAAATTTACACCTGTCCACATAAGTACAATCTTAAATTTACCCTCACACTCCCTGTCTAATTGGATATTCAACACTTAACCTGTATCTATCTGCATCTGCCTTAAAGTAATCTCACAGATTACGAGTAAGTCTAAACTCATTATCTATTCACTACTTAAAGCGAGTATGACTTTTTAAGTTTACATTCACCTATTATCTATTAAATTTATATTCATTACTGTTTTAATTGGAGTGAGTGCTTCATGAAATTTATGAAATTGTACTTGCTGTCCTTAAATTTGAGAAAAAAACCCCATGTTATCTGATTTTTAATTTACTTGTGAAACTTCGTACCAACGTTTTTCAATTTCTTTGAAGTATGTTTTAATATCAATTTCATGGTCTAATCATGGCCGGTTAACATATTGATAAACACAAAGCAATGTACTTTCAATTGCTAAGAACATTAATCCTCAGTTCCATCAAAGGACATAAAGTTCACATTCAATTTTGTCAAAAATGTTTTGGGTCGTTTGTTTGGTACTGAACTCAAGCCATGCTCATTTAAAATGGGGAATGTGAGTTGTTTGGAGAATATTTCTTTAATAAAATGAAAATTATATATAACTACATATTTGTACCCTTTTTTCATTCATACACGTTGAAATTATGCTATGAAAGAAGCCATTTCTTATTTTTCATGCCGAAATTTATTTTACAGGTAAAAACATTGAAGTTTAAGTGTTTCTGCTCTGGAATCTAGATAAACCAAATTATTTTTGTTCTCTGCTTTCCAAAGAAACTGCAAGGCGCCTTCTTTTAGACCTATTCCTGGATGTTGTGCTTATACAGTCATATGATTACCAGCAACAGTCTTACACCAAAAGTTAAAGGGGGTGCCATTTCCTTTACCCTTAAGAGTTTATAAGTCTTATACTCTGAGAAATCTGTTTTGGGGAAAGGCCTAGATAAGCAGACAAATTGTTTTTGTTTTATCCAAACGAATTTTCCGATTTCTCAGAGTATTTTTCTATCTATTATATGTAGATGCGGAACTGGAGGTGATTTCTGAAGAGGGTTCAAGTTATGGCAGCAAAGGAAGCCTGAAAAAGTCTTCCATTGGTAGACTACTAGTACAGATTGTTTCCAAGTTCCGGTGATAGATCTGGAAGGCATGGAAGGTGGCCGATGAAGGAGATACTGGATTGGATCATGGAAGAATCAGGAACATGGAGTTTCTTTCAAGTTATTAGCCATGGTGTTCCTGTTTGCATTATGGATGGCATGCTATAAGGCGTACGCTGGGTTCCATGAACAGCCAAAGGATGAGAGGAGGAGATGGTACTGTAGGGATTACAATCAGCCTGTTAGGAATTTCTGCAAGGGAGATCTGGTAAACAAAGGAGCTGCAAACTGGAGGGATTCAATAGCATTTTATTTTCATAACAGTCGACTCCCAACTTTTTCCTCCAATATGGAGGTACTATTGTAAGACTCACAATTTTTTCACTAAGTGTGTAATCAACAGCTGCAAACTGAGAAAATTCTCGAAGAATCTTTCGTAGGAAAGCTGTAAATAAATACATAAAACGCATGATCAAGCTAAGAAAGACATTGTCTGAACTTCTTTCGAAGAATTTGGGGCTTCAGAGTGTACCTTGCGAGCATTGGATGCATGGAAACCGAGTTGCTTGTGTGCCATTACTACCCTGATTGCCTTGAGCAAGAATTAACTCTGGGTGCAACCAGACACTCGGACCCATCTTTGCTGACCATTCCTCCTTCAAGACACATACGATGCTTCCAAGTTCTTCCCTGAAGTAACTGGGTCAATGTTCCATTTCTTCCAGGCGTTTTTGAGATTAACATTGGTGATTTCATTCAGGATATGCACGTATAAACATGAGAACTTTTCTTTTTCTCCTAGTCTAGAATAACAAATTAGGTTTGTCATTTCTGTTATTAGCTCAATCACAAATGACAAATTCAAGAGTGTGGAGCATAGGTGCTAGCGGGACAAGTACATGGGGTATTAGTGATGTTTTTTTTCCTATGCAAGCACTGCAAACAAACATAAACCATATGCCCCAATAAGAGCTTCTGACGGAAAGTAATCCACCTATATACAGGGGAATTTATATCACTGAATACTTGGCCTATTTCTGGGCCAAAGGTCTGGACGGAAACTCAAGCCTTCCTCACATCAAAATGCGTAAATGGTGGGTTGATACTACATGACCATCGCTTTAAGGATCACGATTATAAAGTAGATGTAATAGCTACTAACATTCTATGATATCCAATCTTCTATTTATCATGTGCAGTTGCTCCTTTAATGGTGAATGTTGAATATACATGTCAATTAGAGAACCAAGTTTAAAGTAGTAACTGCAGGAAAACATACAGCAAACGCACCCAATATTGGATTATTATCAGAACTTTCAAACAGCTAATGATGTCTGATATAAATTGGGAAGGATAAAAGCAAGTGGTAAATGTCATTTCCACAAACTATGAAGAACAGAAGCAAAAACTCTTCACAAAATGTTTCTCAAGGATGTTCTCTTCCTTTCCCCTACTTCATATATTCTTTTAGGGGACTGGAAGATAAAGACAAGAAGCAAAAACCATAAAGCAATCTAAAATCACAAACCACTCACAATATGTTACAGTGGGAGCCAATATTACTAATTCCAAGAGGTGACAAGCAATTGCAGCTAGCTCGTAGCCTTCGATTGCAAAATCTGCACAAGTGACCATAAGATGTCCATTCTATGCATAACTCTGTTGTTCTGTCCCTGCAATGTTTTCATAATCGGGTATTGGATTATAAAATGGGAAACAAAGTTGAAAGAGGATTAAAGTACTGAATCGTTGGGAACTTATAATGCAGTTTGCACATGCCTGGAGTTTCGGGCATGTAACTTATAATACATTCAATGTATAAATATCATACATATCAAGAGTCATTGACACGTTCCTTTAGCATCCAACGGTTATTTTTTGGGCAGGCACATAACCGAAGGAAGACAAAGCAGCAAAGACAAAACGACACAACCCACGATGGATAAGATTAAAATATCATAAATCCTACCTCAACCACAAAACATATCCGAGTCTTCTCACCACGTGCTTCTGTAACCCCCTTTAAAATTGTCAGGCCCAAGCTTCTGATGGCCTCTGCTATCTCGAGAAAATGACTACATTCCTCGCACAACAGCTGCATGGATCAACTAAAATAACTTCAAAACCAAGAATAAATAAAAAAAACTATCATTGTGTCATTTTCAGATTATCGTTCTCTGTTTGTCACAGGTAAAATAATGAACAAAACATCCTAAACTAACATGCTGTAAGCAGTGAATCCACCAATGAGATCATTAACTTAGCAAACAATAACTATAGCCAATGAGAAAATAACATACACCAAGCACCCATCATGAAATCATAAGCAAACAACGAGTAATAATCATATCAACAGGAACAGTATCATAAAACTACACAGAATCTGTACCTCTACGAGCATCTGGCCATTTTTGTTTACATTCTCAACTACTATTGAGCAAACTTTTAGATGGCTTCCCAGTTCCACTGCCCAGCTTGAACCTTGTTCATACTTGGATGATCCAAGCATATCAGCTCCCTTGGGAGGCATCTACAAAATCAGCAAGATGTAACGGCACTTTAGTTCAGCTAGTGTACAGTAATTGTGTTGCCATTTCATGAAAAACAAGAAGAATCTATAATATATGCCTACAAAGCCCAAAGGTACAACCCCTCCTCCCAACACACAAAAAAAAAATTCTGGTAGAACTCAAGTGAGATTATTTAATTCATCACCCCAATACTCTATCAGATCAGTGAGATCTCAGTATCTAATAACAATCATTAACCAGTACACTGCCTTACCTTTGATTCAGCACATTTACTGAGCTTTTCAGCATGCTTCGTGATGCCTTGAAGAAAGACCATGTGCTTGACTGTGCGCTCCAGCAATGAATCAATACTGCACTGCATATTTTTTTCTTGAAATTTTAGTTGATTGACACTTGTAAAGACAGAAGGAAAACATTATCATGATCCAATACTCGTGTGAACAGAAAGTAATTTACCTTTGCCCCATTAGGTACAAGCTCCCTTAGCTCCTTAATACGATCTTGAATAAGTTGTCTGTCCCTAGGCCTAGGCCTGGGATTTTCGCCAGGTCTAGTCCTCTTCTTGTTGTTCCTAGCTGGTTCTGAAGACTTCTCACTACAGTTGCTAGGGAAAGCAGAAGAAAACCCTCTTGAAGACAATGCACCACATAGAGTTGACGAACTCAAGCATTGCTCTGTGCTTTTTTCCTTGGGAGAGGACTGGTTAATTGAATAACCTGCTGAACTAATAGTATGTTTTGTTTGGCCTGAAAGCTTTGGTGTATTTCCAGTAGTCACCAATGATGGTGCGGTTCCGCAAAATGACCTCTCACTTTTGATATCACTGCCGCTATGGCAAACATTTGCTACAACGGCCTCTAGGAGATTCTCTGAACCAGATTCGAAAGTTAATTGGCTGCTGCTCATCCCCTCTAGCATTTCAATATTAGCTCCAGCTTCTGTATTCTCTACCTGCCAATCAGGATATATACTCTTTCTTAAAAACGTTGGTCCAAGTGCTTCATAAAGCTCATACCCAGCAGAAAACTTCGAGGAAGTGCTTATAGAGTCTAAATCACTGAAATCATTTTGATTCCCCAACTTCAAATGCTTTTGAAATTTTATGTCTGAAGATTCAGGAGTGTCTAACACTTCATTTTGATAAAAATTCAAACCACCCAACTTAACAGCACCGCTAATTGCAGATTGAAGTAAGTTTGAGTAGTATTTATAATCAGCTCCATACTGTTCAGCTTGAAGTGCAACATTAAATAAATCCGTACTACCTACAACAGGATGGTTCGCGTAAACATTTTCTGGTCCCATACTTGAACTTTTCCACCCACTAGTCTTCCCTTTGCATACCCCATTGTTTATCAAATTTCTCCCCAACTGATTTAAATGCTCCAAGTTCGAAACATTTGAACTTGGATTCAGCAATTTAGCAGTCTCATCACTCCCTGCTGAGGATAACCCATGCCCGTCATGCTTATTTTCCACTTCAACTGTCCTTTTATGATGATTACTCCCCAGTGGAAAAACAAATGAACTATCACTACCTTTTTGGCAATGTGAAAACTCAGGCAACGAAAAACCCGGCCCTTCTTCGTCTACAGCTTTATCTAAAGAAATAACTTCTGAATCTAATAGTTTTGCATGGAATCCAGGCTGCAAAATGAATATCCAAAAGTATTAATAACCTAAACAAATGTACATGTAACCTTTTGCAAGGTTGCATGCATGTACACATGCTGGTACACAAAATGGAGAAACTGAATTATACCTCAAAAACTAAACTTTTCATGCTACATTCTATCGGATTGGCAATATGCCCTAGATAAAAATCTTGAAGAGAAAAGAACACATCTCTAATGTGACTCACAAGCTTCACATCCTCAAATACCTGCTCCATTCAGATAAATACAATTTAGGATTGTATTACTGTATAGAATATCAGCTCAAAAGAACTAGAGCAAAAAGCAACAGACTGATGGCAATCATATTAAATGTCAAATCCAGAAATGGCTTCTAGGACTTGGCCATATTAAAACATACTTTAGTAACTTTGTCATGTTATAAACGCATTTAAAAAATTAAGGCGCGAGTTTTCTTACCTATAATTTTCAGAGCACCATAAAATATAAACATAAATATAGAGTTGAGAATTTAGAGGATCAAAAGACTTCAACTAGTAAAAAAAATACTGAAGAAAAAAGTATCAAACTTACAAGGAGCAAGCCACATAAAAATATTAAATTTTCAGAAGCTAGCTCCTTTATTGAAACAAATATAATAGTGCATAACATATTTCATGCAAGCAAGAGGTGTTCGTATAAAACAAAAATTTTAGGAGGCCAAAGATATCCATATCAATTCCAGAACCCCCAAAAGTTGCACAAACATCAACTTAAAGTAAAGATATTGATAAACATTCATAAAGTAGAAAAAACACCAAAACAAATTGAACTCATCTTACTTTATTTAAGGAGCCAAGCTGCACAACTCCCTGTGGAACACCAGCAACAACAACAATGGTCTACAAGGCAAAATGAAAAATATTTCTATTAATAGTATAACCATATATATTTATGGAATGAAAATTAAGCTTTAGGCAAAAGACAGTTGCAGACAACATTATGGATGGGTTTGCTTACGAACTCCCACAATACAAAATAAGCAAGTTGAAACTTATATTCACTTTGCTAAGGTCAAATAAACTAGCAAAAATAAATTGTAAAAATGAATTGGAATAAAATGCATTCAGTCAAAATGAAAGCTCCACGAAAAAGATTTTGACCTTTGACCTAGAAACATGATCAGTTATAGACTTCCATGTGTTGAACCACGGCAACCATCACAACTAAAAGAAAGAGTAAAAGCATGCATAACATACCCTGATCCCTGCTTCAAACTGACTTTGCCAACCATCAGATAACTGAAATTCAAATCAAATTAAGGCAGAAAACATAGTGAGTATTGAAAATAAAATCAACTCTGAAACAGCATGTTAGACATCAATGCTTGGTAAAGCTCCTCACCTCAAGCGATGAGCAGGAGCTGTTAACATGCTTATCTACAAATATCCATTGATGCTTTCCAGAAACTGCCTCTTGTCCAACAATCCTGCATAACAAGGAATAAGAACCAACAGGACTTCTGCATAAGCTAAGATGCAGAAATTTGGTGCTTATCATAATCACTATAAAATTTAAAAGAGAGGATTTTAGAAAGAAGGGGGAGGGGCAACAAGACCCTATTTTCAACTGATTGCATCCTTGCATCTTATTTCTTTAACTACTACAGTAACAATGACAAAAAATATCAAACAATGAACAACAGATTTATCAATGGGTAGAGCCATACCCTTCCCCTAGTGAATATACTTGATAAGACATCTTTGCCACAACCAAACCAAGGGGGTCATGTGAATAGTGTCCACCGTGTAAGTTTTCTAGTGAATCTCGGAAACAGTTATTCTCTGAAAGATCATGTTGGTTATGATTATCGTAGTAGGCATCCTCCAAAGTCAGCACCCTGCAACAAGTTCAACATTAGGGATCACAAGTAACCAAACACGTCAAATTGTTTTCACCAAGGCCAGCATAACATCTCAAAAATTAAAGGTAAAACAGAGCTATTAGTTTACTTCTAATAATTGCAGTACAATATTCCCAAGCTAAAAAATCAACATAAAATAATCCTCTGAATATTCAAGTGGTATTAGTCCACTTTTTCTCTTTTAAAATCATCTTTAAAAAGGGAATTAAAAGAACACAAAAAGCAAGTACGTCAATTTCCAGAGCTTCTGAACAAATGGCAGATTGCAGTTGAATAATACTGATAGAAAGAAAGAAAAACAGGTGTGAATTATATTGCATGCCAAATCCAAGGGTCAAAAGCATTCCATACTAACCTAAATAGCATGACAACTATAATTCAAAAATTAAACAAAACCTCAATTCATCTTAGATCATAAACTCAAAATAATTAGATGCATTACAGACATCGAATTAGCTTCCTACGACACAATATTCATAAGCTTCTTTTTTTTTGGGGGGGTAAACTAGGCCAATAACTAGACACTACAAATCTATCAATTGAAAGAAAATGGAGATAAACTTAAAAGGAAACAGAAAGGTAAGAAAGAGGCTTACTGACATTCGAGCTCGATGCTTAAGCTTCCAGAAAACGGCGTATTTCCACTCAGTATTGAGACAGAGACTTCTCAGTATCTGGTGTAATCCATGCTAGTTGTACTGCTCCCTATCTCTCCCCAAAAAACAGAAACCAACTCTTTTATTTTGTTAAAAAAGCCCCTCACCCCCAACTAAAAGCAACGAAATTTTCAATCAAAAATGCTCCCTCAACCTATCTTTGGCAGTAGCAAACTATCCGTTCCCATTCCTCGACGCCCAATGACAGAAACAGAAAAAAAAACGATCTTTAAGAAGTTTTCGCCGCAGATGCCAATTACAAGATCAAACCGGAGAGATCAAATATGAAAAATGTTTCCGATTCGTTGAAGAGAAAGTGAAGAAAACTACAGATAGCAGCGAAATTTTAGCAGAGAAGCCTGTCTAGCTTATATCCGACGACATGGATAATTGAACTCGCTGAAGATCGAGTTTGTTTTTCAGTTGAAAACGAGATTCAACAAAGAATTGAACTACTAGATGAAATAAAGGAAGGAAATTATAGAATCAAAGCTTGATGGAGTGGTGGGAAGTAGCAGATTTCAAGTCTGAAGTGTGTGTGTTTTTTGACAAAAATGTGCTCATCGTAACATTTTATAACCTGCGCGACCTTGTGTTGCTTCATTAATATACGCACCCGGTGCATTTTAGAGCCCTTCACTTGGTTAATCTAGTTACTTTACCTTTTATTTTTATTTTTTAATATGTTTTTTAACTTCAAAAACTCAATCAATTAAATTTGTTTTTAGGAAATCGCAGCCAATGATTTATAGTAGAATTATGGACGATGATTATCGTCTAATTTTGAAGACATGAAGGATATAAGAGATAGAGAGAGGAAACAAGTTTTTGTAATCATACCTCATGGTTTATAGATAAAATTTTACTGTTTATATTAATACGAAGGTGATATTTATTTGTAGGTTGACATAATAAATAGATTCGATGGATAATAGATCTCACGGATCAATTAATAATCACATCATGTGATCATAACTGATCAAAGATATAACCTAATATGACTTACCGAGGAAGTATAATAAAAATATTTTTTAATCATACAAACAATATTAATCTGAACTTAAAGGTCTTAGTCTATTTTGTTCAATATGACTTACTCGTTGATAAAATACATTCTGCAAACGCAGTTGTTTGAATTCGGAATATTTAAGGAGAACAACGTTCTGTTTTACCATAACTGATCATACATAATTATTTTTCGTGTAAAATTTGTTTTTTCTTCAAAATTTTTATAAAATAATAAAAGAAATAAACTTGTTGTCAATTAGTTCTTGTTGCTATCGTCCAAAAAGTTTCTTTAGGTCAAAACATCATCCTACCAATATCATCATGTAAAAATTTGACCACCGATTATCTTTGCTTTATCTTGTTATTCACCTTGCCAATTAAACCATTAAGAAAGAAGCTTATCTTACCATTGAAATAGAGTACTAAGCTTAATGCACAAATAAGCAAATAATAGTGATTTAAATGATAAAAAAATCATATCTATAGGGAAAAAATAGTGAGGGAAAGGGGCGTGACTGAGCCAGCGCATAGTGTGCGACGACGCAGGGCTTCAAAAAAACAAGAGCCCTGAAATAGAGTATATCTATCAGTTATTGCCATTAAGAAGTAGAAAAATAGGTATAGAGTAGTGGTTAGACCATTGGGTCCATGATTTTATTGATCCTAAGTTCGAATCTTGTTAACATACAAAATTAATTTTGGGAAAAACAATGCAAGTGGACCCTTGTTTTTTAAGTTACTAAAATTAGTCATTTATTATTTCAGAAAAATAAGTTCGAGATCTAAGGATCCCTTTACAAGAATTTACACAGGACCTCCAATAAACTAACCACGACCCTGGGCAAATGAGTAAGATGATGAATGCAAAGAGACAAAGAATAACATGTTTTGATGTTTTCTCCATCTTTTAGTCCTTAGCTTTCTCTCAAGAACTTGATCTTTTAGTCCTTAGCTTTCTCTCAAGAACTTGTTACTTTTAATCTCTCATTGAATAAACCCATTACATCCTCTGTTGCCCTTTCAACTCATTTCCTTTCCCATATGAGGTAAGTGCCATGCAATGCTCCAAAATGTAAAGGAGAAAAAAAATTCGATACGACTCTCGAACATCAGTCCAATTAAAATATATGTTTGACTTTTAAAGTTTTTAAAATATTTATTCGAAGATCGCATCATTCTGATTTGTTTAAATAGATTGAATCAGACTTCGAGAAATATATATTTTATTGTATAATTTTCTCTAAATACATTATTATTAGTTGTTTGCGTAGCTTTCTTTATTGCTAGAGGGTTGGGAAACCATAATCATCCCCGTAAGATTTTGAGGCTGAGCTTTTTACAAACATGTAATCCAAGAGGATGACTATTGACACATTAGTCTCCAACTAAAACATAAAAAATTACTTAAACACCACACAGGAGTCTACTCATAAGATAAAACTTGAGTTTTAACACCACTTTAATCTAATGTACATTCATGTACCAAAAAAACAACCAATAGAACTAAATAATACATTAATGCTCAATGACCCATTTTGACGGTATAATTTGAGGTCTAACCAATTTTTTTTTTAAAAAAAAAATAAGGGGCTAAATGAGAACTTTAAAAAATATCAAAAGTTTTGAGGTTAATTAAAAATATTCAAAATTTGTAAGACTTCATGAATCTTCTAAATCTTTTGAAGGATCTACTTAAATTTTGTAAAATATTTTAAGAGTATAATGCAAATATCTCAAAACTTTGGGGGTGTAATTTAATATTATTTATTACTTATGTTTGAGTGTGATTTAATATACAAGTTAGTAATAAATTAATTTTTTCTCAGTATTATTTTTTATATTTTTTTATTAGTTTGGGGTGATTATAAGGTAGTATATGTTTGAAAGATTATAAATTATTTGACAACAAATGTTCAAATACCCCTACCGATGTCATGCACGAATCTAAAACCTTCAAGGATAACAATCATCCCTTTAACTAATGTGATAAATTGATTCACGTTGTATGTGATCTAATTTTAAACAAGCTTCTAAGCACAAGTACTAAGATTGAGAAAATGGCTAGTGGTGGGCTAATCTACGGATTAGGGGAATCTAATTATGATTAGCATTTGTGTTAAGATATATTTTAGTATTAATGTAATGTAGGGGTTCATGATTAGTGTGATTGAAGACAGAAGAATTTTACAAAGCAGAATCATGTAGTAATAAGCAGATGAAAGAATGCTTTCACCTTTCAATAAAAAGTAGTAATAATGCATTGCATACATATTAACGTAGTAAATACTCAAAAGTTAAGACCGCCGTAAACTTCCATTGTTTTACTTTTATTTACTTTTGAAAGGTAATTTCGGTCTTTTCACTACAATGATTGGAAGATAAAGAGTGCGTTAGGTAAAAACATTTTGATCTGATGTCATCATATGTGACACGGAGTAATAGGATAGTTAAACTCATCGTATATGGACTAAATTATATTTTAAAATTTTGAATTGATTTGGATTTGATGTTTGAGTGGAGTCTTTGAGGGGTTTTTTTGGTAAATTATAAATTTCATCACTAAATTTTACTTTATCTCTTATTTCACTCACTGAACTTTAATTTTTTTTAATTCTTTTACTAAACTTAATATATTAAGTTTTTTTGTCACTTAATTTTACTCTCTCCCCTATTTTGGCAAATTGATGTTAGATAATTATCGGCTTTAAAAAGGATACCGTTTTGAAAAAAATAAAATTTTCACCAAAACAATGTTATTTGGCATCTATATAACTATCCATTTAAACAGTTAACTACTTAACAACCGAGTGATAAAAAAATCAATGTATTAAGTTTAGTGAAAAAATTAAAAGATTTAAAGTACAATGAGTGAAATAGGAGAGAGAATAAAGTTTAGTTACCAAATTTGTAATTTACCCTTGTCGGACGTAAAATCCGATCTCCTATCCGCCATAGAATTGGAAGGTACAAGATGCTTGAGACCACCGGTATTGCCGGTAAGATTTAGGGCTTAATTTAGTTCCACTCAAATATATTAAAATGTTAAATATGTACACCTAAACCCGAAAAATAAATGATTTTGTACACCAAAGTTGAAAAGGCAAATGCATGCTTTTTGACAACTGTAGCAGTGAAACTGCTTGGGAATTCGAGGCTGGCTGGCTTCTCTTTGGGCACCAAAGTCCTACAGAAGCAGTGACTTAATGGGCAAAAGAGAGCAAAACCCCATTTTTAAAAAGGCTGCATATTCACATAGGGCCAACCAACCGCACTTTGTAGTTTGTTCAATGAGAAAATCGTCTCAGTGACCAAAAATACCTTTAGAAGAAAATAGTATCCGCGGCGGCGGCGGCGCGCGAGAGTCCCCCTTGTCCTCTTTCACTCAACAAGGAAGTGCAAAATAAAGCCTTAAATATAATTCCAATAGTGTTTCCAATACTATGTGGGATTGAGCATTACCAACACTTGTTCCCAATATCATTATTCTTCATAAGTTATCATCCATTACAATATGAATTATCGATAATAAATTAATTCATTTTAATAAGTATTTAAAATTATAACTTGATAAATACATGAAATAATTCTATTATTAAATAAAAAATATATTTTTTATATTAAAATTATTGAGATAGATATTTACTATAAAAGTAAAAGATTTTTTTTTCACTACAACCTCTATGTGAATTAGTTTCACAATAAGGTATCGGTTATGCATTGGATTCTTTCGTATTAGATGGTCTTTAATAAGATCGTCATCATCATCTTTTGTTCAACAATACCATATTAATGAGGTATATTGGTTCATTAGCACGACTAATTCATATTGTAATGGATGATAACTTATGAAGAATAATGATATTTGGAACAAGTGTTGGTAATGTTCAATCCCACATAGTATTGGAAATACTATTGGGATGGTATTAAGGCTTGTATTTTGCACTTCCTTGTTGAGTGAAAGAGGACAAGGGGGACTCTCGCGCGCCGTCGCCGCCGCCGCCGCCGCCGTCTCGTGGTCGTGGTCGTGGTAATACGTGTCTTCGACACGTCCGCGCGGATACTATCTTTTTAGAGAAAATTCTTAAGAAATAAATTTTTTTTAACTATTCTTTTTAACGTTGCGATTTTCTAAATCGCGTTGCGATTCTCTCAATCGCATTGCGATTCTATAAATCGCATTGCGATTCTCTCAGTCGCATTGCGATTCTCTCAGTCGCATTGCGATTTTCTTCTAAATCGCGTTGCGAATCTCTCAATCGCATTGCGATTCTATAAATCGCATTGCGATTCTATCAATCGCATTGCGATTTTCTTCTAAATCGCGTTGCGAACTTGGAAGCTCGCGTTGCGATTTTCTTTTGACCGTTGCGATTTTCTTTTTAACGTTGCGATTTTCTAAATCGCGTTGCGATTTTGATATCGCGTTGTGATTTTATTGGTCATTTTGGCAAATCCAAAAAAAGTTGGTTAAAATCGTATATTATAAGGTATTTTTGGTCACTGAGGCGATTTTCTCTTGTTCAATCTGGTTTCTGTTCACACTCCTGCAACAAAACCCAATTGCCAAAGTTCATCATTCAGATCATCTCTGATTATAAATCATTTGCTTCTTTGACTTTCTTTCTCTCAATCTCTCTCTCTCTCTTGTTATGGAAAATAAAAGGGTTAAGCTTTAACATGTAGGTTGTGTAAGGTCCTATTGCAGTACTTGAACACTTGGGACCCGCCATGGCAGGTAATGGTTTATGCATTTGGTCTGGTCCAGCTGTTTTGCTCAGAAACCATTCTGAAAATAGTTTTTAGCTACATCCGTATTGTTTGCGGATTTATTAAGTGTTTCAGGAACTCGTTGCCTATGGAATGAATATATATAACTTTCCATAACACAAATGATGCATGCATCAACTCAGAACGATAGATATTTTCAATTTGCATACTCTCCAACATGTAAAAAGACAGACAACTTGTCTGATTCAATCATCAGTTGTAATACTTCAGCATGGGAGTGAATAAAAATACAGAAAGGCGATAACGTCTATAACAGAATAAACCTTAGCATCTAGTTGAATGCATGTGGTGATCCTTATGCCATTCGCCAATGACCATTTTAAACTTTACTAGCACCACCCCTTGAGGCCACCTATTTTTGGGATCCCACCTCGGAAACCATCGCCGTCTATTCGAATTCGTACCCAACGTCACTGTCTCTTTCTGCGGAAACATAAGCTTCAATAGGAAACCTCTGCTTCTGCGGCTAGGGGTGGGGGCTTGTTCATGTTTGGCTGCTTGAGATTGGAAAACATCACCGTGTGTGAGAAAGATCTCATCTCGATTGCGAACAAAATATAGCCGTGAATACCTTTGTTCGAGCGACTCCTTTGGTATGTCTCTTGCTAGCAATGGAGAAGCACCGCCCCAGTTGTTGGTTCCCAAAGAAGGATGCTGGGGAGTTCTAAACTCCAGAAGTTCCCTTTGCCTCATTCCTCTTATTTTTGTTAAATCAGCCCCATATTCAAGGCCTTTTGTACCAGTATCCTTGGTATCTTCTATGTAGAGGAGAAAATTTCAAGACCTGCATTGGACTTATCTCCAATATTTAACAATAACATTATTATCAAATAATCATACTTTATCAGACTATTAAAACAAATGTTAGCCCTATGTCATCCAAATTAGGATGTTAGTGCCGATTCCAATCTGTACAGCACAAGTATTCCAAAATTTGGCAGCAGCAGCTCTTAACTACAATAGAATAAACAGTCTGCAGTGGTAAGTAAGACATTTTATGGCTAAAAGTTCACTTAAAGTAATCGTTATATCAATCGGAATCTTACCGTATTGTAAGTCTCCAACAGAAATGGGAAACTTGAATCATGAATGGAGTTTTTCTGTTTTGGAGTCGCAGGAGACAAAGGATGGTGATTCTTTCAAGAATTGGATGATGTAGACATCCATTTTTATTTGGGGAAAAAGTTTAGAGTTTAGAGTTCAGATGCAGATCAATCTGAAGAAACAAAGTTATGTACTAGTTGGTTGATTGATTGACAGCACCAACATGGCTTCAAGCCCTCCACCCAGAATTGAAAGCACCTACACACACAAAAACTTGACAAAATCTTTACAAAAGCTGAACTCCGGCCGACTTTGATTTCTTATATAATTTAATGAAACCAAGCACTGATTCTCTCATTTTGCTTCTTGGAGTAGCATTCGAATTGACTCGGGGCTTGACATTTTACTGATGCTGAAAACAATGGAATGAAGACCGTCAGTTAGAAATATTTTCTTAAAAGTTAATGAATATGGTTTGTTCTGATAAACATTTTTTTTTTGCTAAATGTCTTGATAAACACCAACCTTTTTTATATATTTTATAGGTAAATATCAAATTAATTATACTCACCAAACAAGTAAATCCCCAGAAGAGGCCGTGTTTTCAGATATCCATTCAGGAGCTAGTTCCAGCAACAGTTTTAGCTGCTCTTCAATTTCTCCTGGGAATGCAGGAAAGACATTGTTCAACTTATGTTTTCATACACCAAAAGTTTAGCAAAATGGCTTACCTCTATCAGCAGTATCACAATGGCCAGTAATTATTTTGTGCATAAGCTCTTCTTTGGCAATAACAGAGCGCTTTATGGACTGGAATAGATAGTGAATCATGTTGAAGAACTTAGGTAGGCAGGCTATCGACTGTTGTAGTCTCTTAGCTGCGAGATTGCTGGATCTTGCTCCTCTCTTCCTTTCCTCTCTTTTTCCTTATCTGCAAAGATAACAAATGTTTCTTATAAATTTTACTCGTGCAATCAAATCCCAAACCACACTGTTCCATGAGCTATTAGATGTTCACTCCCAACTAGATATTTTGCTAAATAATGCCAAGAAATCTTAAAGTAAGATTGCAGGATGTATTAGTTGCCAAGACCATTAACCGATATGCGGAAAGCGCAGTTGTTGGAGAACCTTCATGTTGGTTATTATAGGATAAGAATAGTGGATGTCTCATCCTATATATTGATTTACTCTCCCTAGTTCCGTATCTAATATGAATTAGAAAAAAATCAAAACGATATTTGTGTTGGTAAGTCAACAGTAGGTGACTAAGTACTTCGAGTAGTTAGTAATGTATGCAGATGTTACTCATGTTCTAAAATGGAGAAAGCAAAGAGAATTCAGAGAAGGCTTACTGAATGCAGAAGGTTACTTTCTCTTCCTCAAGTTTCAAGGACCTGGTACGCAGTGGCCGCCTAACCTCATCTGGGCTCATGTAACATCTCTTTTGCGGCTGCAGAGTAGGTGTGACAATCATCAGCCTAGCAGGAGTTGAAGCTAGTTTTGCAGGAGTGGACTGGTTACAGCTAGATTTTGTAGGGGATCTATCTTCAGTTTCTAATGGATTTATCTCTTTGATAGGAAGCACAGGGAGGCAAAGTTTGGAACTTGGCTCGCTTACGGTTGCTTTAGATAAAAATTCATTTGGGGTTTGAGTTGGAGAAGAATTAGTATTGTCACTGTCGACAGATATGCTGGCACACAGCTCAAGTTGAAACTTCGAAGACTGAAGAGAAACCTCTGAACATGTTTAAACAACCACTTGAGGAGCTTTGCTAGTGGTTTTCCCAGAGAAGCGCTTTCGAAATGAACAAGATACATGAGATGCTACCACAGGTAGCCGGTCATCAACTGCATCAGCTAATGTCTCCACAGCCAGTTTTGACTTTTGAGTTGGAATTTGTTTGTTTGGATTGTTGTGGTTGAGCTTCCAATTTAAGAACTTCACCTCCTGAAGTCAAAGATCGCTGACGACTCATCAGATGACAAAGAGATCTGCCCTTCGATGATGTTCCATTGTATATTTTGCTTCGAGCGGTTAAAAGGCTCCGGGAGATCTTCCTCTGGAATTTCACCACCCTGAAAGCACAATAATTAAAGTCAACACAACATGATACATGAAAAAAATAGTTAGAACAATAATTAGAGCCATCCATTGAGCTTAGAACATCAAGTAAAGCTTTAAAATGGGTGGATTTATGAGAATCACGCCTGTTTTCTATGTATATCAGCATATGACATTATGTAAACCAGAGTACCAGACCCGTATGACAAAAATCAATGAAGAAAGATCCAAATTACTCGTGATCAAGTCCGAGTCAGATTGCAATTATATGATTCTTTTTCTTTCTTTTTATTAAAAAAATAGGTCTAATTGCAGTTTCTTTATATTTTTATAGCAGTTTGATACTCTGATTTCATGGACGGCCTAAGCTTTAAGTGATTCCAAGCAGGGGCTGATTGGTACAAGGTAAAATGATTTAGCTGCATAAACTTCATACCACTCCAACAAATTGATTATAATTCTCAGAAAGAAAGAAGAATTCACATTCAAGAGATGGAGAAGCTTGTTTCAATCTGGTCCAAAAACAAACCTTTGCCTGAATCTTACATATTCCCACCAGAAACAACACCCGGAACCTCATTGTTCCCACTTCCAAAGCCATCCCAGTAATCGATCTCCGTCAAAATCGAGCCGATATCGTTCAGCAGATCCTGAAAGCCGGCGAAGAGTATGGATTTTTCCAAGTTGTTAACCATGGGATTCCAGAAGATCTGATGGAACAAACCATGGATGTGCTCTACTCCGAGGATCCCAAAGAAAGTTGCAGGCTTTACACAAGCAGTGCAAACTATGCTCGGGAAAAGATTCACCATTGGCGTGACACTTTGCGTCTCCCTGTTCATCCTACAGAAGATTTCATCAAAATTTGGCCTCAAAAGCCAATTACATATAGGTAAAAGAAAATGTAAAACCCCTGAATTTTCTCTTCCCTTCTTTCATTTTCTCAGTACAAAACATCTTGCAGGGAAGAGTGGGAAAATTTTCGATTGAAGCAAAGAAACTGGGTTCCATGATCCTGGAGTTTGTTGCTGAAGGCTTGGGGATACAACTTGGATACTTTGGGGATAAATTAAGTGAATATACGGTTCTAGCAATTAACCATTACCCACCCTGTCCTGATCCGAGCTTGACTCTGGGAATATCTAAACATTGCGATCCTAAACTCTTAACCATTCTCCACCAGGGAGATGTAAACGGGCTCCAAGTCTTCAACAACGGAGAATGGATCGGTGTTGAGCCTTTGCACAATGCCATCGTGGTCAACATTGGCAACCAGCTACAGGTTCATGTATGTTTGTTGGGAGCAGCGTTAATTTACAGTTTTCTGATTGATATTGTGATGTTGGTTTGCATAGATTATCAGTAACAACAAGCTGAAGAGCGCTAAACATCGGGTAGTAACGAACTCGAATGTCGCTCGAACAACACCCGCGTTCTTCATGGCACCTTCCCTTGATAGCATTATAGAGCCGGCGAAATCTCTTACCAGTGACGGTTAGCCAGGGGTGTTCATTTTTCGGTTTTAACCGAATTAACAGACCGAATCAAATTAGTTCGATTAATTCGATCGGCCACCGAATTAATTCGGTCGGAGAATGGTTAATAATTTTTTAACATTCGGTTAACGGTTAATTTGATTCGAAATCGGTTAATTAACCAAAATTAAATTTTAATCATTAAATATATTATATATAACATATGGGCTCAACCCAAACTATTTAAAACTCAATTAATAATTTAAGAATCAATATATTTTAAATCTAAATAAATATTAATTAATTAAAAAATTCATATAAATTAATTGTAAATTTTTTTTTTGAATTAAAAAATATTCAATTTTTATATAATTTAGAAAATTTTAAAAAAAATCGATTAATTCGAAAATTAACCGAAATTTATTCGGTTAATATTTTTAAAAAAAAGTTCGGATCGATTAACGATTAAAGAAAAAAAAGTTCGATTAAGTCGATTAATGGTAATTCGGTTTCAATCGGCTACCGTTTTATAGAGTTTTTAAATACGAAGAATTCACGCACCACTACTTCCCCAATTTTGGACAAAACGACTTCGTTATGGAGCGTTTTAAATCCCAAGCTCAATCCACTATCATGATATACATTGTGTAAGAAATATGATGCAAACTTGCTCTCTATGTAACTACATTGAATACCTAATATGATGCTCGAACAATAACTGCCTTGTTCGGCTAAATTTAAACGAATGAACATGAATGTGCCTTTGTGCAAAACACGTGCTTAACTCGATAATAAAAAAAAACATCGATTTCCTCAATTTATTGCTTCTATTTTGCAATTGAATAATCATGGTTCTAGATTGGATCCAACTACGAAAATTGTTTCAATCTGGTCCAAAAGCAAACCTTTGCCTGAATCTTACATATTCCCACCAGAAACAAGACCCGGCAACTTCATTGTTCCCACTTCCAAAACCAGCCCAGTAATCGATCTCCGTCAAAATCGAGCCAATATCGTTCAGCAGGTCCTGAAAGCCAGCGAAGAGTATGGATTTTTCCAGGTAAAAAACACAGAGGTTTATTATCAATATCTTATGACCTATAACTGCT